AAGAAAGAAAGAAAGAAAGAAAGAAAGAAAGAAAGAAAGAAAGAAAGTCTCAAAAGCCACACATTCCAAGACTAGACCAGGAAGTTCAAAATAATTCTTGAAGGCGGCAGTGAGAAACGTCTTCCACATCAAGGCCCCTCAACCTTTTTTCACCCATGGGGCCCTTCCAACCTTGCCTATCCCCTGTGCCCCCGCCCCCCCAGCTCCCACGCCCAGATACAGACAAGGCACAGGAATTCGTGCGTTTTCTGGCATCAGCAAGACAGCATCTACCGTATAATACACTTTGCTTTTCGGTGGCCCCCTTGGCGCATGCAGGGCCCCTCCGGTTACACGTTTCTTACCTGTGGCCCCCTTGAAATATCCTAGGGCCCCCAGAAGACCCTATGGCTCCCGGTTGAGAACCGCCTGCTCTACATTATTGCCAAGAGGTCAATATGGACGTGTCTGTATAGCTTCATTTTAGGAAAACGTCACTTATAGAAACCCCCAGAGAGAAATACTCAGGACCCCCCCCCCCAAAAAGACTGCAGTTAGTGCAATATTCCACATTGTAATTTCCCGGGAAGAAATGGGACTGTTGAATGCAGGACAAACATCCCTGTTAATGCTGATTAAAATATAGTCTTCCCTTTCTTCTCTTGGGCCAATTCTCTGTTTGGAAGGAGAGCCCCAGGCACAACAATCCAAAGCCAAAGGGGGCTGTTGTCCCCCCCAAAAGACGCCCCCTCCCGTTTGAAGCGACTTTTAAAAGATCCCCAGTGAAGACCTTTGAGAAGGAAGAAAACTGGGGAGAGACCGCTCTCCCGTGGCCAGGGCAGAGAAGTGCGCAATTCCCTGCACGCATTTAAGGATTCTCAAGCGGAATTGATGCGCGCGAGGATTTTCCTTCTGTGCATGCCATTTTTGGGAGGAAATCCCCCTCTAAGCTCTTTGCATTTTTTTTTCCTTGGAAGGGAGGGCGTCCTGAATGAAACTGCCCTTTGTCCTGAATGGAAAGTGGCTTGTATCGTTCACTTGCAAGGGAAATACAGGAGGCCAGTTTCCTGCAACTGCGTGGGAATCGTGCCATTATAGATATAATGGATTTGAGGATTAGAAAGAGTAAAATACGGGAAGAAGGGCATTAGGGTGTAACCTTAAAGCGGGAGGGCAGATGATAAATTTATTTGTAACTGCTGTAAAGAAGATCGGAAGGCGCTTCTCTACATGTTTTTCCTTTATCGATCTATTCGCTCTTTTTCTCTACTCTTTTTCTCTTTCTTAAATGTGTACTGCTTTTATTATGGTGTACAGTAAAACTCTTCAGTAAAATGATTAATAACAATAAGAGGCAACAATCAACCAAGCAGGTTAGCAATTATAACTTGCTGTCTCTTTTTTTTCTCCTAGGTAAAGATGCTTCATGGTTAGATAGCATCACTGAAGCAATGAGCATGAAACTGAGCAAACTCAGGGAGGCAGT